AGGCGCCATCGCGCTGGGAAGGGAGCGACTGGGCGACCAAGATTGACTCTGCGAGACCACGTCAGTGGCGTCTCGCGTTCGAAGGAGGTAGGCTGTAGAACCGCCACACATCCACGCCATGCTGCGGTAACTGCAACCGTGAAGGTGCGGCCATATCTGTGCAAGTGAAAGTGCAAATCATTCTCCAATCTCTTACGTCTTGTGACTGGGAGAGGTAACGCTTAACTTAAAAAAGATTAACGTGAAAAAGGAATGAACATATGATAGGGAAGAGCTTCCTTCGAGTCAATTCAAGTTTATTAAGGGAAATATAGGCAAATTCCTTTGAACTCCGTATCGGTACACATTAGTTTAGAAATGCATCAGCACAGCCGAACATTTCAAAGAAGGTCGTTTACATAATTGTAGGCGACTAATTACTTGTTCCAAGTAGTATAATCATATGGGGATAATGTCAGTTAGCAGGAGCCAGGAGGTGTAACTGAGCAAAAACAGCAGACAGTGAAAAAACTCCTATGGCATGGCTCAGAATTCAAGAGTCGAATGTCATTTATAATTTTTTAGGAGAAAAACTGTCGCACGTGGGAGAAAAGTATGTGAATGGTAGGACTGGCAGGCTGTTGTGAATGTTGGCGGCAAGCCGGAGGGCCCATCGCGATTAATATCTTTATCCGGAGGGCCACACGAGGAGGAGCCCGCAGAGTCACGAGTACATCCCGAAGAACTGGAGCTGCGACCACGATACACCCTTGCCAGTTTCCGAGGCCATCATCTATGCGACAAGTACAAGAGAAGCCGCCACGATCTCAACTTCCCATCCGTTATTGGTTGACATAAGTGATTTATAAAGGATAATATAGAAAAACGCTTTTGAGCTCCATGTTGGTGACACAATAGGTAAAAAATGCATCAGTACCGGAGAGAAAAAATAAAAAGAAGGCCGTTTATTTAAGGACAAGCGAATAGGAAGCAGCTGTTGGTTAGTTAAAAAGGTTAAATATACGTGACCACTCTCCCATTAAGAAAAGTATGATTACACGTGAAATTTTTACTTCGGGTATAGTATCTCGGTTTATTGGCGATGCTAAATGACACAAACCAGTACGTAGAACAAAAGAAAAAAGGTCCCTGGAAATGTTCGGAAACTATCGAAGTTTCAATGCGAGTTTAGGGCTGTTATGCAGAAAATAACTGTCCCTCATGGGAGGAAAATTTATGCGAGGTGGGACCGTGCTGTTGACGGGAATGTGTGCGGCAAGGCAAGAAGAGTCCATCTCGGCCATCATTGGTATACTAGGGTTCACACCGAGAGGGAGAATCTCATGTCAAGCGGCCATTGAAGAAATGCGGGAGCTGTGAATATGGTATGCCCTTGCTGATTGACGATTCTGCCGATAACGTGACGAAAGAATGGGGAACAACCAACGATCGTTAACAATCCGTTGCGGCTCGACCAAAAGTGGATGAATGCATAAGGGATGAAGTTGATCCAGCAAAGAATTTAATAAATACATGCCATTGAAAGATGGCAAGCAACACCATAAGGATACGATTTTGTTTCGCATGTGGCAAGACTACAGAGGTCGGGTGGTGTTATAGTGGACACTGCTATGCCGACCCAGCTTCCTCTTAAAGATTTAAAGTTAAGCGGACTTAAGGACGTCCAGAGGCAGAGCATTCCAGGCTTTGGCGATTATGTTGCAAAAGAAGAAATTTGTGTGTCCAGCTTGGCCTCAGTCCCATGGAGTATGAATAGTTGATCACTCAAGCTCGTCTTCTTTGCTCACTGGGAGAAGTCACCACGTAGAACACAGCAGTCCTAATCGCGAATGATATGAAATGTTTGTATCAGATCACCAGGTAGCTGCCTATAACTCAAAGGAAACAGATAAAGATTAGACAAACGTATTTCACAGGGTAGTGAGCGCTGTCCGAGCAAAAGTTTAGTTGCACACGACTGAACCGTTTCGAGGATGTTGAGGTCTTTCGCGATCCGGTGATTCCAAGCTTGGGTAGAGAACTGCGGTAGCGGCCGCACAAGAGTTCCAATGACTTTAGCGAAACAGTCTTCTTCAAAGATAGATAAAGCCCGTTTGACAAGGTATAGGACTGATATCGGAGCCTTGGCTGCATTTGTACAGTGCAGCGAGTGTTTGAACGACAAATGAATACATTTTATATTGTATGCCCGGAGGGTCTCGTCATAGACTGCGTGATCTACATTCCCAAGTCCTTCTGCGCGTCCACTTCTGGCTGTGGCATGGAATTAAGGCAGCAGATCATAGGATTCTGAGAGTTGGGTCAGCCATCTCGGAGCAAAAGCCAGTCCTTCGTTCATGGTTGAAATCGATTTAGGTTCACATACAAATGCTCCTCGTCGGCTGCAACTTTAAAACTCGTCAGAGCTTATTATCATCGGCGAAAATAGCGATATCAAGATCCATTTTATGGATGCAGTCGTTAACGTACACAATGAAACTTGTAGGACCAAGGACGGAGCCACGAGGAACACAACATTCAACCGCAACCTCCGCTGACCGCTGGTCACCGAGATGGTCAGTAAGAGAACGGCCAAATAGGAAACTTCGAATACATTTGAGGAAATTTCCCCTAACACCAGTCCTGCTGAGATTGTGTAGGAGTATGGGATGTGGGACACCATCGAATGCCTCCGTAAGGTCAATGCAAACAACATTAAGTGGCATTTCTCCATCAACTCTCCCCTTCCAACGTTCCAAAGAATAAAGCAAATTCATCACACAGTAACTGCCTCTACGGAATCCATGCTGCGCATCTGATAATACGCTATGTTGCTCTAAGAAGTACATAAGCTCTCGCTTAATTACTTATTCCATAATTTTGCAGCGAATCGAAGTGAGACTGATTGGTCTGCAATTGTTTGGAGGTGATCTATCTGCCACAGTGATCTTTCTGTACAGCGGTGTAATCTATGTAGTTGTCTAATGAGCAGGTAAAGAGCCGGCTTGGAAAAACATAGAAGGGGGTTTAGCTGGTTCTGTTTTTGTGATCCTTCATCCGGACCGAGCGACTTCAACTTATTTAGCGCCAGCAACTCCTGACGAACAGTCGCTTTGGCTAAATGTATATTAGCAATCCTTGCACCGTCATTTGAGTCATAATAGAAAAGGGTAATGTCGTTTTCCTTCGTAAAGGTGGATGTGGAAAATAGTGAAAGTTACTCAGACTTTCTTCAATCCGTATTAATTGTTAGGTTATCGCTTGCCTTTACTAGATAGACTAGATCCTGTTTTTTGTGCTCATTCTGAGTGCTGTAGAATAATTTCGGTTTTGCAAATACACCTCAGTAAGTCTTTTTCAAAAGCATTTCTTGTCCTTAAGGTTCCTCTGTGTCTTGTGTGTGGTTATAGATAGAGAATTGACACTGACGAGCGATTTCGTCCACAAACTGCGCTTTTTATCTGCTGCTTCCTTCAGCGCCTTAGTCACTCACTGGGCTCTGTTGTTGAGCTTCTTCCGTGAAATCATAAGTAAGATGCCCTCCAATATCAATTTACTTCAGAAAACAAGTCCTCTGGCTAAGTTCAAAAATTCCGAGCTGATTCTGGTCGACTGTGATTGTTGGAAATGGAAGAAGAAACTTTAATCGGATATTGCTCTAGTCAGGCGCCCTGTGATCTGTAAACCATCGGTACAGTAAAAAACAGAACACGCGAATTGGCAGAGTAAAATTTTCCGCCCACATCCAGCGCCCCGAACCCGAGTAAAGTTAAGTTGAGGCTTACAAGTTTGGGTTTCTGTTAATCAGGTTGGCGCACACGCGCGACAGTACAATTTACCTCCCTATCTCGTCTTACTTCGATGGCAAAAAATATTAAGTAGACGGGATTTGAAGCAAATCCATTGGCTGACAAATCTAAATACGCTATCTACCCGTGCAGCAGATGAACTGGTCTGCAGACAATGTTCCAGGCTTTCCGTGAGTGGCACCCTATCTCACACCCATTATAGCGTCGTAGAAGTAATATTGATGCATACTTCTTGTAGCCCGTATCCCAGTTTTCAGTATGACCAAGCTATAAGGTCCGTCTGCTGTCTGAGTCTGTCAACTAGCCGGTTAAACTTTTTGAGGCAGTGGCAAACGCAGAACGAGAACCTGCATCTAGGTCTACCCCGCACCCCTTTCATTTGCTTCAGTTCTTACGTGCAGTAGCGAAAGCTGCGAAGCCCTATTAAAATAATTTCGTGGGCCATTTCGTTCCTAATTGTGGTCCTGCGTATATCCAGCAAAATCACCATGTAGGCCAAACAAAATGTAGGCATGAATATATAGGCCAATATTTTTACGCCACGTCAATTTAAGCAACACGGTCTATTTTTTGAAGCGCTAGTGCCTTTTAACTTTTAAGTCTCTCGTTGAACTTTTAGACATTCAGTCTGGATTCAAACGTTGCCTCCCTTTTGACCTTTTAGATCGTTTTTCATATCATTCTTTTATAGCTCATAACTTTTAACTCGCTGCTTTAGCGAATAATTGTTAGAATTTGCTGGTGGCTTGTATACGAGCTGATATGTATATTAAAAATCCCTTAACGATTTCGGAAAGCATTGCGTGCTTTGATAATTTTGCTTATTCGCTCAGATTCTAGTGGGAAAGCAATAGGCGCTGCAGCAAATTTCCTTCCCTCGTTCTCCTCGTTAAATTAATTCTCCTCGTTAAATTATACGTTCACAATGATGATTAGTTTTAATAGGCCGAAATAAATACGCGAATGTTAATCACGATTTTGCGAGTGTAGTTTTTGCTAACCGATTATCCATTAATGGAGTCCCTATCGCAGTCTTGTGAAAATGATGAAGATTTAGACGACATTGACGACTACTACTATTTATCAGACGACAATGAGATGGAAGAATTGGAGAAGAAGTGACCATATTCTTCTCTTTATATCTTAGGCATAACGAAAAAGAGCTCTCCGAAGACCTGAAGTGCAAAACTATTGACCCAGATGGAGCAGAACAAATTTTGAACAAAGATATACACTTCTTATCCAAAAAGATTTCGGTAATATTATACATGTTAGACATTTTTTAGGTCCCGCATTGGCTGACAGCTTTGTTTCTCCGGAAAAGGAAGTGGGATTTGCAAGAAGTCGAGCAAGAATTTCTGAGAAATCCATGTTCGCTTTTGTCGTCCATTTTCCTCATTCCACAAAACGGCTACTGTTACACTTCCGATGCACCAGATTTCGGGAATGTCATTGCATTAATAAATCATACTCAGAAGAATAATCGCCGCTCATCGGGAATTAAATTGAAAGGTAAACCATACTGTTTTTCCAACAGCTATACGTACTTTTCGCATATTTATTTTTCCTTACTTAGGACGAACGAGTGGTACATTAATTGTGCTATTTCCTTTCGTTAAGAAAAACTTAACGGGACGTTCTCTTACTCAAGTAGTTGAGCTGAAGTAAATAAGTTTCATTGAACCAAGGTAATTATTATCCCAAAACCGTATATTTAGTTTCTGCCAAAGGGGATTATTAATTGCGTTCCAGTTCTCCTGTACTTCTTTGTCGACTTTTAAATTGTTTCGGATTTTCATGTTTGGATTCAGTTCCTTATGCATTGCGGATTAATTTCAGCTAGCTGTAGCATTCATGGTCTCATTTCCTTGGATTAATATGCAAGCATACCTAAATATATATATAGCGGAATTTTCGCTGTTTCGCAAATTCCTGCGCACAGCTGGCCTTTTTCTCTCTGGTTCATGCGTCCTCAGCTGGTTTCATGCGCTGGACGCTATTGACGGATGACGTATTACATACCC